TATCGGTTAATATTAATGATAATCAAGAGAAAAATCAGCTTTCTAAAATCCAAAAGGCTCCTTTTAGAGTTCCACTTACTGTGAAATTAATTTTAATAATATATTTTACCCAATATACCCCAAATATCTGCATGTATTCCAAAAAGAAAATTATTAATGAGATATTTTAAAATCTTTTTATACTAAGTACTTGAAATCTGGTGTGTGTTTTACACTGACAACACATCTCAGTTTAGATAATAAATTTTCATTGGAAATATTCATATTTCATAAATAGTAGATTCACACACCCCAGTCATTCTGATATACTTAAAATTTTTCCAATAAATATACTAAGTTCCAAAATAAATACATATATTAAAATATATTTTCAATAAATACATTAAGTTCCAAAATAAAAAATAAATAGTTCCACTCATGAATTCCAGCTTACCATATCCTTAGACATGAAGGTGTATGTAACACCACCACACCCCGAAATGGAGCCCCGAGCTAGGCACTCACGGATCATATACACAGTAATGTGGGCACATAAATACAGACGTAGGCAAGGAAGTTAGGTCTACTCATGTCTAGCCCATATGAAGAAAAACAAATCACTCCTGCTGTTACAAGATTTACCAAATCACCCCAACAAGAGCACAGAGCTGCTGTTCCAGGAATGCAGCAGGAAGAAGGCAGAGGACGAGACTATTAGTAAACCAGGACGCGGATGCTTTGACTTTTTATGAATATAAAATATGTCTCGCTCCTGAAAATTACAACCTTTTCTAAAACATTTGTGGGGGGGGTGGTAATTAGGTTTATGTATTTATACGGAGGTACTGGGGATTGAACCCGGGACCTCATGCATGCTAAGCACATGCTCTACCTCTGAGCTACAACCTCCACCTCTAAAACTCTAAAATACACAAATTCCATTCAAATCTTAACTACCAGGACTCACATTTTTTTGGATTTATTTGTCATTTTGCTATTTTTAAAGTATTTTATAAATTATTTCCTTCCATTTATCCCAATACCATTAACCACTTATTTAAAATTCCTACACAACAGTGTAAACTGACTATACTTCAATTTTAAAAAATTTACATATTTTTAAATAAAACAAAATTCCTTAAATGCAGGTCTTATTCTTCAGGTTTCTGGTGGGAAAGGGACCCAGGCCGGCGTCTTACCTATGGTTTTCTTTCTGTTAACTGCGCTGTCTGCCTTATGCCGCTTCTGTTACAGGAAGAAAGAAACTTGTTAGTTTCAAAAGTTCCAAATGAATAACTGAAATACCAAACGACAAGGCAGGGCAAACACAGGGCAAAGCAACGCGCAGCACGGCTGATGCCCTAAAACTCAGGTCACTGGCTGTGGTCTAGTGTCACTCAGTAAATTCGGAGGGGAACAGAGGAAACACAGCTGAGGTTTAAATGATCCCATTTTGGTTCTAGCAAGAAACAAGCACTTTGAAGTGTACAACTTCCCAGTCCTCGATCGTGTTAGATCAGACTGAAAGAATGCTTCTGTATGATCAACCGACAACAGACGACTGAACTCGTTTTATCAATGAAGAACTTTCGGGGCAAAGTATCTCTGCTTTGATTTGTATTGCATTCATTCATTTACTATTCCCAGGAAAATATACACACATTTGGAGAGAGAGGAAGGGAGAGAAAGAGAGAGAAAAGGGGTATGTGTGTGTGTGTGTGTGTGTGAAAGTCTGAGAGACAGACAGACACACAGGAAGCGAAGGAAAGAGGGAGAGAAAGAGCCCAGAGAGAAAGAAGAGCCCCCAAAAAGGACAGAAAACAGGAGACAGAGTATGAAGATGATTGTAGCCAATGAACTCGGAGATGCACTGAAACAAGTGTAAGGAGGGAGAAGATTCTTGTCAAATTACCTTCATGCTGACACATACTAGACAGCAATACAGTCCATCATCTGCTACCCAAACTAGCAAGCTCCAGGGGGATGTAAGGAACACCAGTGACAAAAATCAAGGGGGACTCAGAAACCTGACATCAGAAAACGTGGTTTGAACCACTTCTGTGTTCCCAGCAGGTGTTTCAGACACTGTGTGTACACCGTCGCTCCCCCAAAATACCGTCATGAACCTTGAGAGGCTAATCAGCCAACAGACCAATTTTTTTCTGTCTTAAAAAATCCAAAGCAACAAATAAGTTGCAAATTATATTCGATACAGTGTTTTTACCATCTGAAAGCAAAAACTTACAAAATCTTCTACAATCTCTTTGATGCCCGCGATGGTTAAAATAATGATCAGTGGCACCAGGGTGGTGTATCTTCCTGTCGGAGATACGTCTGGAATTTGCTGTAAGAGAAAGAGACCAAGAGTAGGACGTTGGCAAACTGAAATCCTCTCCAGGAGAAAGAACACCCAGCACTCACCCCTGGCCCTTCTGCAGTTCTGTTTCATTTCCATTCCACCAAATGACTACATTATTGTAAAAACCAGCTAAGCGTGTTACATTTTTAAAAAATTTTACCCAACGTTGCTTTGTGTTTGGAACAGGAAAAGGGGCTAAAAGTAGGACCCCTACTCAACCCCATGGCCATTTTGTAACTGCAATTACCCTTAAGCTAAGACCTAAAGGAGTTGCCCTTTATGCAAAGATCATGGCTGTTCACACAAACAAATTTCATTCAAGTCTGGTGACGCTTTCTCAGTCACATGACCTTGCAGCCAGATCTCATTCTGCACCGACTTAAGGGGATGAATTTTAAATAACTTTTCAAAGCATCACCTGTAGTAAGGCAATGAAGAGGAAGAAGGCATTGGCAGCTCTCCGGATCTGCTCGTACAAGAACCGAGGTAGAAATGTCACCACGCTGTACTTGGCCGTGCTGTGAGGACAGAGAAAACACTGCTCTCAGTCACAGCTGCGAAGTCCAAAAAGCGAGAAAGCAAAGTTTCGAAAATGACACACAGGACTGTAAAAGCAAAATATTTCAAAGCTCAGGACAAAGAAATGGCTGTGCTGGTCCTCTCGAAGCTAGTTCCTGGAAGAAAAATAAAACACATCTGATAAGAAAAAGTAATGTGATCTCAGTTTTCCAACTTTGATAGCTATGTGTCAGTTTCGTGTCACTCGATCTAAGCAGGGAAACTGACCCAGCTTCTAGGAGCCTCGTGCTATGAACGTGGGAAACATAAACAACGTATGTAAAGGGAAGAGGTGCGTCAAAGACACAAAATGGAAAGGGGCTCATGCCCCCAGTGCAGGAGGAGGACACTGACACAGAGAGGAGGAAGCCAGCATCAGCCGAGGAACGCGCACCCACAGGTGCATCACCCCCCAGGGCTGGCGGCGCGCTACAGTTCTTACCACAAAGTCACTGATTCAACACAGCAGCCCACTCTCCGAAGCACGCCGTGGGTAACGGGCGTGTGGTTAACAGTTCAATGCGTCCGGCCAGATACTCACCATGGACTCACGTTCAAACACACCTGAATGACCCGACCCTCACACACACCCTTCACTAGGCCACTGTGGCTCATCCTTCAGCTCCCGCCTGAGGCATCTCCTCCCGCGGTCCCTCCAGAACCAGACGACCCTCCCATCTCGCCCTCCCATCCAACCTTCCCTCTCCCACTAAGTCAGGTCCAGTTCACAAGGGCTTGTCTTCCTCCAGGTCCCAGTATGGTGTTTACACCTGCATGACGCTGTCTCTGCTTGGCTTTGGATTGTGTCTGTCTATCTCCAAAAGAGATCCTGGGAACCACAAGAACGCTCAATTTGTTTAAAAAAAAAGACACAGGAGGGCCAAGATGGAGTCACTTGTGCAAAGCCCATGTCATCAGAGACTCAATACCTAACCTAACTGCAGTTCCCAGCCTCTCCAGGAATGTGAGCTCAACCAGTCCGTCTGGAATCACCTGGTCAGCACCAGCGAGGTGATCAGCCTGACGGAGCCCTGAGGTCCCCCAAAGGAAGGTGACCTTGCCCCAAACCATCTGCTGTTTGCAAGAAGCTTCCTTGTCTCACCCCCTTTCTGCCTGTAAACTCTTCCATTTGGTTCAGTTCCTCAGAGCACCTTTCTCTCTGCCGGATAGGACGCTGCCCAGCTCATGAATCACTGAACAAAGCCAATGAGATCTTTTAAATTTACTCAGCTGAATTTTGTCTTTTAACAACTTCAACTTTGTACCTTCCCGGCACACAGCAGACAGTCAATGATCAATGAAATCATGCACAGGCATAAACTGGGAACCTGAAGGATACGGTGAACCACGCCTCCTGGAGCTGCTCCAAGGCTTATCGCTGGAAGACCTGCCCAAGCCCTAGCTCAGCTCCCGAAGGCACGACTCGGGCCGACTCTTATCCGAAGTATAGTCTCAACAGATTGTCTAAATTTCAAACACACCATCCGTTAGAAGTGCCAACTACAAGAGCAAAGGGCTAGGAGACAGAGCACCTGAGGCACGGGCACTTCTGCAAGACCTGACAGCAGCCAGACCCAGAGTGACAAAAGTAATCACCCAACATGCAGCAGCCTGAGGGCACCTGATGGAGCAGGAAACAGCCCCAGGTAACCATTTGCTGCCACTGCCTCCGGGAAGATCATCCCTGTCGGACAACTGCCTGGAGCTTCGCTCTACACAACCATCAGAATTACTGATGGTAATAAGACAGAATTACTTCCAGCCTTCTTCCACTCAAGGTGCTGGGGTACTGCGATTTGTCATAAGAAATACATACTTGGTCTTCATCCCAGTTCCTGCAACAGAACTCCTAGAACCCTTGGGATTTCCAAAATGTTGACAGGGATAAAGGTGTCTTTTGTTGTGTTCACGTGGGGACTCTTGGAAAGCTCCTAGGTAAGGGGGCTAGTTGCCAGGGGAGCCAACCACATGATTGGAGGGTTGGAACTTTCAGTCCCACCCACTCCTGGAGACTGAGTTCAATCGCCAAAGGCTGATGATTTAATCAATTATGACTATGCAACAAAGCCTCTGTAAAACCCCAAAAGGACAGGGTTTGGAGAGCTGGAGGCCCAAGAGAAGCTGATTTTCCATTTGGGTCTGTACACCATCTGCTGGCAGAATTCCTTCTTGCTCAGGGAGGTCAGTCAGTCTTTGTTCTGTTCTGGACTTCAGCTGATTGCATGAGGCCCACCCATATTATGGAGGGTATACCTGCATTACTCAAAGCCCACCAATTTAAACGTTCGTCTCATCCAAAAGGCAACTTCAAAGAAACATCTAGGGTAATGTTTGACCAAATAGCTAGGCACTGTGGCCGAGTCAAATTGCATAAAATTAACCACTGCATGCATATCCTGATTCAGGAGGCCTGGAGTGGGTCTGAGATGTTGCAGTTCTAATGAGTTCCCAGGTGAAACCAATGCTGCTGGTCTGAGAACACTTTGAGTGGCAGACACACCTGAGGAGGTAGATGTGTTCAGATCTCCCCTTTGAGTTCAATCCTGCTGAACGGTGTCAAGTGTAACCATAGGAGACGTGGACAGCACAGCTCCGGGGAAAGAACACCTGAGGGGTGAAGGGGTGATTGAGGGTGCTTCCCCACAGAAGAGCTTGTTCACCAGGTGAGCTCATAGCCCCCAAAAGATTCCTACTCAAATTGCATGTGTCAGCATCCCTGCCAGCGTGGCTGGGCACCAGCTGCCAGGGAGTCCTGGGCATTTAGCAAGTCGGAGGGCTTGGGGAACGGGGAGAGATGACCAGGAGGAAACAGAACCATTCCTTGGGGTTCAGCCAGTTTCCTTGTAAACATTGGTTAGACCAGGGCTTCCTGAAATTGGGTGACATGAAGAACAATCAGGAGCTTGTCAAAAACCCAGCCAGCCAGCCTTCCCCAGGTGCTCACTGAGCCCACCTAGTATCAGGGCCTGTGCCGGGCACCGCCAGGAACCAAAGGCCCAAATGCACACATTCGAGGGAATTACATTCTAGAGAAGAAATCAGATTTCAAAACCAAGTAAACTTTGTCACAGGAGATGTAAAGGAGCAGGATCCTGTGGGGACGACCAGGGTCAGACCCCTCCCCCATGACCTCTGCTGCAGCTCCTCTCTGAAGGACCCGGATAATAGTATCTTATGTATATTTCCTGAGTTTTTCAGATGCTAAAAACCACCACCAAAGGGAAGAAATGAACCACTTGATGATCGAGAGCACATGGTCCCCAGACCTTCTGGCTCCTGGGGGTTGATGGTGTTGATGCCCCGTTCCCTCCATATCAGCCAATCAGAGAATCGTGCATGCGCTGATCGCATACCTGTGACCCCCTCCTTCACCTGGCCTTTAAGTAGGCTTTGCTGAAATCCTTCCAGGAGTTCGGGGTTTTCTTGGACATGAGCCACCCCGTCGTCCTTGTTCGGCCCTGCAATAAACCTTTCTCTGCTCCAAACTCTGACGTTTCAGTTGGTTTGGCCTCGTGGTGCGGCAGGCACACGAACTCGCTTTAGGCAACAGAGAGGTGGTGATAAACAGCAGGGAGGGGAACAGATCAGGGGCGGAGGACACAGAAAGGTTCACTGGCGGGGGTCACGGAGGAGGTCACTTTCAACAGCGATCAGGGAACGTGTCACGGACAAGGTGATGGAGCAGGAGCCCGCCACGGGGGTGAGCAGGGAAGAGCTCTGCGGAGAGGGAGCAGCATGCAGCAAAACGCTGAGTGGGAGGGCGGCGGCTGCTGCTGCCGTCCTGTTGGTGGAGCAGCGAGGGGGCCCTGCGGCTCACGTCCACACCCTGGCCCTTTCCTCTTCAAGAGACGGGAAGCCTCTGGAAGCTTCCTAGGAGAAGACAAGATCTGACAGCAATACCAACCTGTAAACCTCCCTCCGGGGACCTGACTCAGCAAGGGTGGAACTGGGCTACGTGCGTGGTGGACACGGTCCTCGTGGAAACACTCGTGATCTGGCCAGGATTGGAAACCACACATCAGAAAACAGGGCCTGTTGAAATGTGGGTCTGGAGCTCCCTGCCTGTCACAAGTCACCAAGCAGACAGAGTCTGACCTCCAGTAGGCAGCACAGGAACTCCGAGATAAGCTGAGTCCAGTTTTCCAGCCGTGAGAAAAATCAAGGTTGACAGCTGTCCTCTAAGGGCAGATCTCCAGCACAGCAGCTGCTCCAAGTGTAACTTCCCCTGAAACAAGCCTCCAGAAAGCCAAGCAGCCTAACACTTCAAAATGTGAACAGCAGAGACGTTCAAAAGAATCGCTGTTTTCATTCTCCAGCCTCACATGGACAAACACACGTCCAGTACGTGCCCGACGTACCCCAGATATTCCGTGTGGACTGGGAATGTGGGGGGCCCTTTAAACCCCTTCCCATGGACATTTTTATTTTCAACACGTTTCCTATTTCTTTGTCTCCAACTGGAAGAGAAGTGCTCCTTCCTTGTCTCATAACCCGTTCCCAGAACAGTCACTGGACCCGACTGGGCTGACGGCTCGTCATCATCCATCACGTGGGCTGAAAAATCAGCTGCTTCTTTTTTTTATTTTTTTTTATCTACAATGTCGTGTTGGTTTCTGGTGTGCAGCATAGTGATTCAGTTATATATACATGCATTCTTTTCCATTACAGGTCACTACAGGTTCCCTGTGCTCTATCTGTTCTGCACATAGTAGTTTGCATCAGCCCATCCCAAACTCCCAATTTATCCCTCCCTCCCTGCTTCCCCATCTGCCGGGTAACCATGTTTGTTTTCTATGTCTGTGAGTCTGTTTCAATCAGCCTATTCTTTATCATATATGTCCAGTGAGAGAAACAGGTTGGATTTTAATCAATCAGCTCATGAATATACCTCTGAATGTAAGTTCCTAAGTCAGACAGCCCTACAATTCATATGAAATGGCATGAGCGTCCTGTTCCTCTC